AAACCGTTCCATCCCTAATATGTATACATATACTATTTAACAGATTTCAACAATGATTACAGTAATATGAATTATTTTCCTCATATTCATTAAAGCATAACAAGAAGTGAAGCATAAACGGAAGAAAACATAAAGCTGTTTATCATGAAAAATTTACAGAGCAGATCTCTGTGCTAATGTTTTCCTTTCCCTGTTCAGATTAAAGAGGCAGAGAAGTTGTAGTTTTAAAGTAGGTGTTTTTTTTTTAGCCAAAAACTTGCTTTGGCCAAGAAGACATGCAAATTGAACCAGAAGAATTGGCCAGCCCCTTAGGAATGAAAAAAACCCAAACTACTCCCCATTCCAAAGGGGCGGAAATGAAAACTTAGACACCAAGTCCAGTGTGTTGTTTTTACTTTTTTGGCATGCAGATCTATGCATGTAAATAGAAGTAAACTGTTTTTCACACAACGGTTACAGTAAATATAATAGCCTTAGGTGAAATATCTACAAGCTTGGCGTTAGTACAAAGGAAAATCAAAGTAAAATTTTGGTTAAAAATAATCGCAATTTTGATTTTTGATAAAATTGTTCAGCCCTAGTTTTGAATATCTTATTCATCATTTCATTTTATTTATTAACCCAGTTAGGGCTGAAACAATCTGATTAATCGTGATTGAGCGATTATTGAAATGATCAGCAACTAATTTAGTGATTGATTTATCATTAACTCGAGTATAGAGACTAAATCATGCCTGACAGATTGACCCACTTAGAGCAGGAATTATACCAACATTATAAAAAAAATATATAAACATGTTGCATTTAAGCTAAAGAAGCCGTTTACGTCTGTCAATCTGCTCTATCTAGAACTCCTCAAGTGGAAAAGTTTTAGTTTCACCTGATTTAATTTTGTAAAAAAAAATCTCTTAAGGAACCTTCGGCTATCCGATTATTAATCAATTAAAGGTATAGAGAACGATATATTTTTCCGGGTGGATCATCTAAATAAGTGGTCCTCATAATTGTCAATCATTCTGATGATATGTTTATGTAAGGTCGGCCTACGTGCTCGTCCTGTTAGCTATCTTTTTCTGCCCATGCACACTTTCAGACGTATATGTGTGGTGAGCTATAGTTTCAGAAAGTCATTGAAGCTCACCTTTCTCACTGCCGTTCTTTGAAAATGGCCAAGGCTCGTAAGTAGGGTTGAGAATTGGTAAGATTTTCATGATTCCGATTCCTTTATCGGTTCTGTGAAACGATTCGATTCCTTATCGATTCTCTTATCGATTCTGTGCAACAATGAACTTGGTAAGTGCATGGTGACATTCGTCTACCTTCCCCTGGGACATTCCATTTCCGCCTGCCTCGGCAAAAACAGAAGGCAGTGAACAGGAGCTGCCAGCCTCTGAGCCAGCCAGGCTACCTGTCTTCTCACAGTCATATAAATCTAATGGAGATAGCATCTGTTTACTGAAAAAGCATGACTGTATTTCAGGAAATAAACTCATCTCCCCCTGATTTAAATAAACTAACCATTCTCTCCGTTTAATTTAATTAAAGTAGAGGTAGGAAACTGGTTTATTTCCCGAAATGGCGTAAGATTTACTAGGAACAACATGAAGCACAGCCAGTGATATAAAACTAGCTACTCACCACCAGAGTTGCCTTCCATGCTGGTCGTAACTTTAGCTTCTGTCCGGAAGCATCAAAAACATGGCATTAGTTCAAATGTACGCCATATTGTGTGCGCAGGTGTTTCTGCATGTTGGATGTATTTCGTCCCGCGGATGTTTTTGCCACTTTACATACAAACTTTCGATCAGTTTACCCAATGGGACGCCATTTTTCTTTTTCTTTTTTTTCCTTTTCTAGACTTAGGCCTGGTCATGTCGTACTAGCTTACTAAATGCTGTGTACTTGCGTACAAAAAATGCGACGTAACTTACGTAGACGACGTGACGTGGTGCTGCCTGGAACCGTTAAGTGAGCTTCCAAACGCCGCCATGGAATTGGAACACACAGAACCGGTCCTCATAAGGAAGCGGTTTTCGATTCCCATCCCTAGTTGTTAGAGAAAAAGTGTCTACGAAGTGTATGAGAAGAAGAGAAAGGCCTCAGAGGAGGCAGATATATCACAGATATATCCCAGAATGCTTTGTGCAGAGAGCTCTCCTTGCAAAGCATTATGGGATTTGCTGTCATAGCGGCCCGCTGTCGCTACCTGACAGCGGTGACTAATCACAAAGATGGCACAGGTACCGCACAGTAAAGAAGGAGTTACGTGACCAACAGAGCAAAAAGCAGTGATCATCTGTCTGAACCCTCAGTTAACTGAGTTCCCTATAAAGTCCACGCTGTCTGTGGACAAAGTAAGCTTTTATAAGCTGTGAGAACAGAACAGAACTCCTTTAAAAAAATCCTCCACAATACCTTAATCAAATAAAATAGTCAACATATTAATCAATTTGCTAAATAATCGTTAGTTGCAGCCTGTTTTGTTTTATTTTATAAAAAAAAATTTGTGGTTTAATACCGTGTAAGAGGACGTGTTTTTTTAAATACAGCTGGCGACATAAGCTGTAAAAATATAAGGATTTAGCATCTTTTATTAACAGTATGTTGTGAAAACATGTTTAGCCCTTGGTGTCATGGAAGGATCCTTTTGATACAAGAGAAAAATCTTTTGTTTAAGGAAATGGTGATAACATTTTCCACAATCTGACTGTCTAAAAATGCTCTCATGCATTTGATG